AGATGGAACTTTCATTCTCTCAGAGTTTCCTGCTATGTCCAAAAAGTCAGCTGCCGCAAAGCACATCACCCAGAAGAAAACTGAGGTGCCGCCTTGTGGGTGGGCACCTGTGAAAGCACGGCCCGTGGGGCTTCTGTGCTGGTGACTGGAGCTGTGCTGTGGGGTGTGGAGGGGAGGCTTGTTGATCAGAAGTCCCTCGGCCTTGGCTCCTCTCCTTGATATGGTGGTTTACTCCCCTGGAACACAGATGGCGTGTCTCAAGAGAAAGGAAAGGGAGTCACTGCTGTCCCCACAGACCTTGGAGGGCAGTCCTCCCTGCCTGGTTCTATCCTCCCCTGCCTGGGGGGGTTCTGATGGGTTTCTGCCCTCACACCTGCTGGGGGGAAAAGAAGAGAACAGAAGACATTTGGACTCCCTTTTGTGAGCAGGAGAATCTACTGGTGTCGTAGGCCTGTGACCCATGACTGCCTTCCCAACCCCCACTCCCATGCATGCACACGCTCGCTGTGGTTTGCTGACATTCTGTCCCATCCACAGGCTGATGGGGCCTTCCAGGTTTCCCAGTTTAAACCTTGCTGTTCTTTTGAGAAGCATCTTCAGAGTTTTGGGTTTTTCCTCCCAATCATCACCTGGGATTCCTATAAGCATTTGCACCCAGCTCTTGGGCCACATGGCCGCCTTGTGCACATTCATGGGACTATTCAGACCTGGCTCCAGCAACTGGGGCCCATTTGGGTCTTTTTGTCTGCTGTGTGTGGTTCTCCCTCCTGAGCCAGGTCCGCGGCAGGACCAAGTGCTGGAATTCATTGAGTTCTGTTTTTTAAGCCTTTCCTTGGCCCAGTTTCATTCAGCCGTGTGTTCATACCGTTGTTGTGGGGCACTTGGGCTACCTGGTGCTGCTGTGCATGCCGGGGTTCCTCTGGGTAGTGCTGGCGGAGGAGTGGACGTGGGAGGGCAGACTGACTTGGTGTGACATGAAGGAGCACTAGGGGTGAGGAGGAGAGAAGGCCGGGTCGGGGTAGACGGTGGCCAGACAGGCCTTCCAAGGTGACTCACTTCAAACAGTCTGGCAGGGAGAGTGGTCTTCACTCCTCACAGGCTCTCAGGAGCCAGGAGGGACACAGCTGCAGGGCCCCAGGTGGCTGTGCCCGTAGGGGCCTGTGGTTCAGGCTTTCCTGAGGCCTGGTCCTGGCCTAGAAGACCCTGGCGTTGGTGTTGTCTTACGGAGCAGGATGTGCAGACCTGCCTGCAGTTGATACATTTAGGCAGCCCGGCAGCCCAGAACGTTTGCTCTAGGAAGTCAGGCTTTCTGCCTTTGAAATTTCTTTCTGTTGCTCTTACTCGATGTAGAAGTTGTCAGTCTCCTGTCACTGCTCTCTTCCCAGTCATACCTGAGCGCCACTTCCGCACTCTGGAGGCATAACGGCCTCTTCCACCAAGTGTCAAATCTGCATGGTCGTGTAGCCCCCTCTGTTCTCCATCTTGCCCATGAGGAAACCGAGTCATGGCGATGGAGTTGCTCTGCTACGTTCCAGTTGGGTGGATCTGGGGAGGGAGGGAGGGGTCTGGGAATATGGCTGCAGCCTGTGTAGCCCGTGGGGGCTGAACAGTCTTATCTCCTGAGTCCGGGGTGCCGCAGCCCTAGCCGTCTCAGTGCAGGCTCCTGTGGCTGGGCGACTGTGCCTGCCTCGGAGAGTGCTCTGTCCTCACAGCACCTGTAAGTAAGCTCTGTCTTCTGCGTTATCCCTTCCTACAGGGACCCAGACATGGAGCTGCGGGAAGAAGCTTGGTCTCCGGGGCCGCTGGACTCTGAGGACCAGCAGATGGCCAGTCATGAGAACCCAGGTGAGGTGGCCTCGGTGGTTCATCAGCCAGCCCCACTGCCTTTCCACCAGGCCGGGGGACCATCCTTTGTCACTCTGGGGTGCCTGGACTCCTGCCGCTTTCCCTCTAAGAGCCCCACACCCACAGCTTAGAATGAGAGGTTGATGCTCTGGTCCCCAAGGGTCCTTTTAACGGGACCGTCCAGATCTTTCGCCTCATGTCTCCCTCCAGCTGGCTGTTGTTGAGCACCGTTTTTGTGCCCTATGCCCTGTTCTGGTTCCAGGAACACTGACTGCTTTATGGGTGCTCCTCACATCAGGGTGGCCCCTAAACCCAAGGTCTGGAAGTTGTAATGAATGAGTGAAGGACTAGGAAGGGGAATCTGTAGTCATGTGGTAAGATTTGGGAAGGGTGGGCTGGATTAAATATGAAACCATTCATTTTTAAGCGTTGGCACATGTGTTCATTTTTTTAAATAAAGTATTATTGGGTGGAACAAAACTCCTGTGGGTTACGTGGTGCCCAGGTTTGGGGGTAAACCCATGCTGGCCCACCGACACCCTCATCCCTCTCCCTGGTGATACCAGCGTGGTGACAAGAAGGTGATGACACTACCAGCGTGGTGACAAGAAGGCACAGCGCACACTGTGTCTGCTGCCTGGGGCGGATGGCGCTGCCTTCCTCCCTTTTAATAAATCGGTGCTTCCAACACATTGCTCCGGTGTTCCTTAGACGCCGCTGCATGGCCCCGGGTTGCTTTCTCGTCACCCCCACCTGTACACAGCCACGAACCCATTGTGTGGGGTTACAGTACAAGTGTGGCACGACCCTGAGCACCTGAAGACCGTGCAGACTGTCGTAGCTTCCCTTCGGTTACTGTGAAAAGCACTCAACATGAAAACTTAGGGGAGAAAGGGCTCATTTGAACTTTTTTTTTTTTTGATTTTCCGAGACAGGGTTTCTCTGTGTAGCTTTGCGCCTTTCCTGGAACTCACTTGGTAGACCAGGCTGGCCTCGAACTCACAGAGATCCACCTGCCTCTGCCTCCCGAGTGCTGGGATTAAAGGCGTGCGCCACCAACGCCCGGCTTCATTTGAACTTCTAATTCCAGGTTACAGTCCATCATGCCGTGAAGTCACGGGCAGGAGCTTGAAACAGCTAGTCACAGCACATCCAGTCAACAGCAGAGAGAAATAAACGCATGTTTGCTTGCTTGGGCCCAGTTTGATTTCTTTCCACCCATAGCAGTCTAAGAGTCCCTGATCAGTGACGCCCTCCCAGTGGGCTGGCTCTTTCCATGGCCGTTAACTGGTGACAGCTCCTACAGACGTGCCCGCAGGACAGCCCTGTGTAGAGGTCATTCTGGCTCGTGTCAAGGTTGACAGAGCTGGCCAGCACTCTGACGTTGCTTTCCCTGGGCTCTACCTTGTTTAAGTGCTGGCCTGTTTCCCACACACTTGACTGGCCTCTGAAGGTGGCCCTCAGTTGGTCCCCAGCAGAACCCTGGCTCTGGACAGCGGGAGCTGTGCTGCCTCGTCCTGCTGAGTGCTTGCTGAGCGAGCAAGAGGCACTCCAGAGAATCAGATGGCAGGCTTTTAGATTTTATTTTATTTTCTGACTCTTGCATATTTCTGGGAAGCCTGTTCAGCCGAGAGAGGCTAATGCTGTTACTGAGAATGGCACTATCGGTGTGTCTCGACATTGCCAGCCTCCACGTGGGTCATCTCTCTGAGAGCGCACAGAGCCTCGGAGGTCAGGCTGCCTGTTGATCCACTTTATTTTCAAAAGGATATTGGTGGGGTTGCGGGGGATGGAGTTGGGACGGAAGCGGACAGCTTGCCTAGGAATGGGCTCCCTGGGGCTCCCTGGGGCTCCCTGGGGCTGAAGCGGTTTCACAGTCAGTCTCTCAGGCTCCCTTTCTCCCGATTATTCCAGCTGCCATGTGAGATGGGCAGTGGCCATGGTCAGAGAGATCCTTCCAGGCTGTCTTGGTCCTTAGCTCAGCAACAGGCTATCCAGAAAGAAAAGTAGAGTAGTCCCAATAGAGAGGGACTTTCAGCTGCTGTCGTGGTAGTCTCCCACTGGGTGGTGAGGCTCCGTCCTCCTGTGGAACGTAGCACTCACCCGCCATGCAGCTCGGTCAGCGGGAGAGCTCACTTCAAAACTAGAGGCTCTTCCCAGGTCCCTGTGTAGGAATACAGCAACGCATAACCAAACCCCAGGCCCTTAGACCACACTGACAAATACCAGGCCTTGAGCATGGCTGCTAGCTCTGGCAGACCTTATGGGATGAGCCACCTCAGCCTGGGTGTGTAGGGGTGGCTTAGGGGAAGGAAGTGGGGGAGATGGCCTTCAAGAGTTCACTGGGAAGTTCGGGGGCAGGGACACACTTGGGGATCCATGGCTATAAAGTAGGTGTTTTGTGCAGAACTGTGTGGGACATGAGAGGCCAGGGAGGCCAGTGAGAAGAAACCTGGGTTCTTGAACCATCTCGGTACAGCCCTGAAGGGTACGGCCTAGGGAGCGAATTGTGAGCAGGGAGGGAGGCAGAAGAGACTGTTCTGATGGAAATAGGGCGGCAAGTGGCATTTGTGTGGCCACGGTATGCAAACAGCGAGAATTCCATCCCGTTGCCTCGCAGGCCAGGACGCCTGCCTGTCACAGGAACTGTGGCCAGTGCCCTAGAAGGTGTTTGTGAAAAGGTGACTGGGAGTGCCTCTAGAAGTGCAGATTGCTTAAGTGTGTTGAGAGAGGATCCGGCCCACAGAAAAACGATGTGATTCTAGAACTCTTCAATGGGCAAACTCAGCAGAGATGAGGAATAAAATCCAAACCCAGAATGGAAAGACTAGAAGGAACTCAAGTGAGTAAGCACATTGTCCCAAACATTAAAGGTGAGGAGGAGCCAGAGAGACGACTTCCTTCCAGAGGGACCCCTCCACCTGTGACTCCGGCCAGTTCCAGAGTCTGATAATGGACTCTGCACCTGCACCCACATACAGCCGCCTCAGCAATACATATAATTAAAACTTCTGAAGAGCTGAAAACAGCATAATTGTAAGATGAAGATGAGTTATTTACTTTTGAATTTTCGAGACAGGGTTTCTCTGTAGCGCTGACTGTCTTGGAACTCTGTAGACCAGGCTGGCCTCAAACAGATCTGTCTGCCTCTGCCTCCTGAGCACTGGGATTAAAGGCATGCACCACCATCTCCCAGCAAAAATGAAATTTTTAGAAGATTAAAATGGAGTAAAGAATATTGAAGTTAGGCAGAGAAAGTGTGATATACATTTAGACCGAAACCCTGATGTATGCAAAGCAAAGGAATAGACTATATGGCAGAACTATTCATGGGCTACATGACTCAGTGGTTAAGAGCACTTGCTGCTCTTGTTGGGGACCCAGGTTCTGCTCCCAGCACCCATGTCTGGCAGCTCACAACTGCCTGTAATTCCAACCTCGTGATCCAATGCCGCCTTCTGGCCTCTCCATTACCTTATACACTTGTGGTATGCATTTACACAGACACACGCACACACAGATACAGATCCGTCCTGAAAACTAATTCCAGAGAAAAGCCCTGAAATTGAGCTCTGTTGAGAGAACAAGTCACAAACATCGAGAGCAGCCATAAAGAGCTGAGGGCCAGGGTGTGGCTCAGTGATAGTGCACTCGTTTCCCATGCCCAGGGGTGTTTGATGCCACCTGTTGAAAATCAAAATCCAACTTCCGGGCAGAAGGAATGAGGAGCTTATAAGGAAAAGTAAAGGCAACGGGTAGACATCAACATTTCAGCCCAAGAAAAGCATCACTGACAGTCAGTCCTCAGGGTGAGAAGGGTGAGCCAAGGATTTGAAGGGTACCAACAGAACAAGAGCCCAGTTAAGCCCCTCACCTGTGTGCCTTTCCCGGAAATGTAATGGTGACTGAGCTTTGGACAACCCCAGTGACCAGAGAGAGGCAGGCAAAGGTGGCAGTGAGCGGGGGCTGGCTTCAAGCACAGGACCAGACACCTGCCTATGGGGACACTGAAAATGGAAAGGGACTCGTTAGGGCATTTAGTGTGCCTGTGCCCAGAAGGCAGCCTGCGTCAAACCAGTAAGTGATTCCTGTTGTGATTCGATCGTCACCCACAGTGGTGATGGGAGCTGTGTCAAGTGGGAGGTACTAAATAGTTTCAATAAAAACTTTCAGCTGCTGAGAGTACTTATGGCAATTGCCACTGTGGATTCATGAGTTTTTATTTGAAAACAAAACCCAGAACAGGCACTAACTGATTTTGCTCCCGAGTACTGCTTTTGGAAAGCTGTCGGTGGTGGGTCTGGGGTAAGCGGCATACAAAACAAACGGGATGCTGCTGAGGGCACTGGACCCAGGGAGGACGACAAGCATGGAGGAGGCTCACACCAGAGATGGGCAGTTTTAACCTGGTGAATTTAAACCAACGCTTGTTTTTGCTGTGGTACTGGGATCCAGCCTAGAGTCTTGGACAGTATAGATCAGGGCCCTGCCACAGAGCTGCATTGCCAGCCTCCTTTCTGCTTCTTATTCTGAAACAAGATCTTGCTAAGTTGCCCAGATTGGCCTTGAACTCATAGCCCAGGCAGGCCTCAGCCTCCCAGGTAGCTGACACTGCATACCTGTGCCACCAGGACAGGGAAGGGAGAGACTCATTTGGTCACTTTGGCGAAGACTAACTAGAGAACCAACCTACGCTTGAAAACTGGGCAGATGTCCTGCCTACAACCTCCTGAAGTGAACTGAGTACCAAGAGCTTGACTCTGATGTGGTGTCTTGAAATCATTACAGCTGCTGTCCCACAAACAGAATAGCTGCCCCTTCCATGATCTGAGCATTGTCCCAGGGCAATACAAGAAGCCTTTCTTCTGGGAGAGGACAAGACAGCATCGCGAGCCTCTTTGAGGAGGCTGGGCTACAAAGGGGTGGGCTGTCAGCCCACTAGTCCAGAGGTGGCATCAGTGTACTGAGTAGCCAGCAGGGCCATATGGGCCTGCTTTCTAAGAGTTTCAAATGTCATGTGTGTGAGAGTTGTGCCTACATGCATGTCTGTATACCACATGCTTGCCTGGTACCTGTGGAGGTCAAGAGGGTGTCAGAGCCCCGGGACCTGGAGTTTCAGATGGTTTTGAGGCACCATGTGGGTGCTGGGAATCGAACTTGAGTTCTCTGCAAGGACCACAAGTGCCCTTAACAGCTGAGCCAGTTCTGTTTTTCCTGAGACAGTGCAACCGGGAGAAGCTGACTCTTCAGTCCCCTGCTAAATGTCCACAGTCCCACTTCCAAACGCCTCTGCCCTTCAGAACCGAGTGTCCCTGTTGAGCCCAGGCATCAGCTAAAAACGGAACTCCACCTTCTGATCACTTAACAGTTTGCTTATTTACAGAACAGGCACACTTAACTCAATAACCAGACAACTTAGGAAAAGTCAGAGTCTAAGGAAAGAACATGCCTGAATTCTCCTCGCCCCTTATGGCCTTAGCCACTGATGGCCCTGAGGGGTGGTGGATGTATCTTCCACCCCTGCAGGTCTCTGTCCTGAGCTCCCACACTTACTGCTGTCTTCAACATTCAGACTTCATGTCATGACTGCAAATACTGTTCAAAGATGCACATACACACAGTACCCTGGCACTCAGAATCATTAAACTTGGTGTTGTATTTTGTGTGTGCATGGGAGAGTGTTGGCACAAGCATGCCACCACGCACATGTCGAGGCCAAGGAAAACCTGAGGGAGTTGGGGTTCTCCTTCCATCATGTGGGTATTACGGTTGAATTCAGATCGTCGGGTTTAGGGCAAGCACATTGGCTTGCTGAGCCATCTCCCAGACCCTATTATGGCACTTGAATACATATGTGTCACTATTTTGTTTTTACTTACTTCCTCCACCATCCAGGTACTGGGCCCCTTCCCCCTCTTAAATAGTCCCTCCTGCTTCTCTCATATATCTCATTATTCTTTCATTGCCTGTCCTTTTAGACCTCTTCCTCCCCGTCTTTCTGCCTTCATTTTTCGCATGCATTTGCGAGCGTGTGTGTGTGTGTGTGTGTGTGTGTGTGTGTGTGTGCGCGCGCGTGCGCGCGTTCGTGCATACGTGCGTGTATATACATGTGTCTGCCCACTCTGTGTGCCCATCCACAAGTATGCACAGGCCAGTGGCAGATGTAGTGTATTGATCTTCACATAGACACTGAAGCTGCATGTGTTGGCTAGGTTGCCTTGCCTGGAAACTCCTGGAATCCATTTGTCTCTACCCACCAGCCAGAATTGGAGAGTCAGGTCTCCATCCCTGGCTTTTGTATGGGCTCTGGGGATTTGAACTTGGGACCTCTTGCTTCCACAGCAAGTACTTTTACCCAATTGATGCATGGACTGTTGTTTAGTACTTGGAACTAGGAACATTTCGGAAAGTAGTGTTGCTGGGGCACAGAGCCCAACCCCTGCCCCCAAGGTTCTTGTTCTTGATCGAAGGGGACTTGGACAGACAGTTTGATTATGTTAGAGGGAGAGAGACTTATTGTATATGGGGTGTGGGTATTCACATGGGTCCGTGGAATCAAGAGACGGGTACCTCAAGGATGATTCTAGCCTTTCCCAGCTGCAGGGAGGTCATTTCTCTGAACTGAACCACTCTTGCTTGGCAAAGGGCCCTTTTATCCTCCAGTTTACACCTTTGAGCAAGTTAATCTTTGTACCCCAACACCTCTCATCTAAGCTTCCCCAAGGGACAATGCCACCTGCCATGTTCTGGGTTCTTCTTCAGCCCAATTTGCTGCATAGGCTTTGCACTTCAGATTCACATAGAGGGTACCGGGAAACAAAAGGCTGGGTGCTAACACTGGAGTCAAATTCTTCCTACAGATACTGCTGTGAGCATAAGGGTCCAGGTATGGGAGAAAGGAAAGAAGAGAGAGAGAAAGCCATACTTTGAATAGAGCGTGGGAGACGGGAGGAAGGCTAGGGCCCAAGGCCTTGCTTCCTGGAGTTGTTGAGGGTGCACAGTTCTCCCAGGGTGCCGTGGGCATTAGGTGAAAGAGCCGCTCTTGATCCTTTGGGATCAACCAAGGAGGAAGTACATACTCTTTGCAATATTTGTTTTAACCTTTTGGTCAGCTAAGAGTTGCTGTGTGTGGCCTGGAACTCAGGGTGTCTAGGAAGGCTCCATTTGTCTCAGCTTTGGGCCCTGACAACAGCTGTGTTTTCTCTCACCTGTCCCCGCTTTACCTGTGGGGCCATTGCTTCAGCCTCACCCCGTCAGCCTCCATAGGCTGTGATCTTTATCCTCCGCTGAGTTTATTTTTCATTTAGCCCCTGAGGGCCAGCGCCTGACTGTGAGCTCTGGGCTGCTTGGAGAGTTCTAGTCTAAACCTTTGAAATAGGCCTCCTTTCAAATTTTACACACATGCACACACACACCCATACCCATGTGGAGGTCTGCAGGGAGCATCTTATGATGGGGCTCCTGAACCCCTGTGGGCGGGCCTTCATAAGGGCCGTTATGGACCACTCACCATTTGTCTCAGGAAGCCAACCGTGATAGTCATGTGTCCTGGGCAAAGGACCCCTCCCTCCCTCCCTCCCTAGCTTCCCGTTGCATTGCAGGTTGCCTTGTAGCCACCAGATGTGGGGTTGCCAGGCCTCGGGTGTCCCTCCAGCCCAGTGGGCCACTGTTCCTCATTTGCCCGCATTGCCTCAGAGGCCGCGTGTGAGCACTGGGAGCTGGTGATGGGAAGAGAGCTTCCAGTGGACCGTGAGACCCGGCTTTGAAAGGAGACTTCAGGGCGCCACCTGAGTTGGTTGGCAGGCTGGACCTGGTGAGCCCTTGGCATGTGACTGCAGGCAGGCCTTGGTTCTTCTGTAAAGTCGGGAGGCTGGAGGAGTTTAAGGGTGGGTAGGCCCCTGGAGGAAAGATGCCAAGGAAGAGGAACCCAGGCCTCAAGAGCAGGACAAGTTGGGACTGGATGGGAGGCAGGCTTCCGGGGCAGGCCGGATGCACATGCAGAGCGGCTCGGGCTGTCCTGAGAGGTGGGTGTCTTCAGTTGTCCAGACCAAGGCCCCTACCCTGTCGTTGTCCTTGGTAGGCAGAGGGGGGCGGTAACAGGCTAACTGGGGGGAGGGCTTGCATGCCCAGTAGTCAGGCTAGTGCACCTCCCAAGCTGGTGTCCATCCCATTTGTCCAACTCTGCCCTGTTTCTGTTTCCCACCCTGCAGCTAGGGTTGCCCAGATGAGACACCATTACGTCCTAACCTGCATACCTTGTAAGACCTCTTTCCCATCCGCGTTGATGTTCAGGTGTCATTTGTGCTGGGGCCTCTCAGAACCCTTGACCCTCTATAGCTTTGGTCGGTAGACCTTTTCGGGGGCCCTGTAGGCCTTAGTTAGGCATTGGTCTACAGGTCCAGAGAGAGGCTAGCAGAGGGAACGTCCACTCTAAGGGAAGGAGAACAGTTCTTAGGGAGATGGGTTAGGAACACAAAAATACTTAGTGAAATACCTGGAGTAATCAGTGCCCCGTGGGATAAGGGGTGCGGTCTGCAAGCTAGCACAACCCAGCTGCCCTTGGGTTGCACGAACCCTGAAAGGATGAGCTGCCCTGGGCGGCTCTCTAAACGAACCATCGGCAACCCACATGTGGACGGTCGCTGTGGGCCCGCCACCTCTGACTTGCCTCCTCCTTCCCTCTTGCCTTGCAGTGGACATCCTCATCATGGATGACGACGACGTCCCCAGCTGGCCCCCGACCAAGCTGTCCCCACCCCAGTCCGCGCCTCCACCTGGGCCCCCTCCCCGGCCGCGGCCGCCTGCACCCTACATCTGCAACGAGTGCGGCAAGAGCTTCAGCCACTGGTCAAAGCTGACGCGGCATCAGCGCACGCACACAGGCGAGCGGCCCAACGCTTGCAGCGACTGCGGCAAGACCTTCTCGCAGAGCTCGCACCTGGTGCAGCATCGGCGCATCCACACGGGCGAGAAGCCATACGCCTGCTCCGAGTGCGGCAAGCGCTTCAGCTGGAGCTCCAACCTCATGCAGCACCAGCGCATCCACACGGGCGAGAAGCCCTACACCTGCCCCGACTGCGGCCGCAGCTTCACACAGAGCAAGAGCCTAGCCAAACACCGGCGCTCGCACAGTGGCCTCAAGCCCTTCGTGTGCCCGCGCTGTGGCCGCGGCTTCAGCCAGCCCAAGAGCCTGGCGCGCCACCTGCGGCTGCACCCAGAGCTGTCAGGGCCGGGTGTGGCGGCCAAGGTGCTAGCGGCCAGCGTGCGGCGTGCCAAGGCGCCCGAGGAGGCGGCGGCGGTGGACGGCGAGATCGCCATCCCCATGGGTGATGGCGAGGGCATCATTGTGGTGGGCGCACCGGGGGACGGTGCCGCAGCAGCCGCAGCCCTGGCGGGGACAGGGCAGCGGGCAGCGGGGCCACGGTCTCGGAGGGCGCCGGCGCCCAAGCCGTACGTGTGCATGGAGTGCGGGAAGGGCTTTGGGCACGGGGCCGGGCTGCTGGCCCACCAGTGCGCGCAGCACGGGGACGGGCTGGGGGCAGTGGGTGGTGAAGAGCCCGCACACATCTGCGTGGAGTGTGGCGAGGGCTTCGTGCAGGGCGCTGCGCTGCGGAGACACAAGAAGATCCACGTGGTTGGGGCGCCGTCGGTCTGCAGCAGCTGCGGACAGAGTTTCTATCGGGCAGGCGGGGAGGACGACGGCGAGGACCAGTCGGCGGGTGTGCGGTGTGCCGAGTGTCGCGGTGGGGAGGCCCGGTAGGGACGGGGGTGCCCGAGGGGTGGGCAGGGCCCCTCGGGCTCAGTGGGGACTATCAGCGAGCAAGACCACGAGGCCCAGGGAGAACCGGACCGAGAGGAGCAGCGGCCTCCCTCCTTCCTCGGCCCACGCTGTCCTGGGTGTGAGGGGGACCCTCGGCCAGCGGGACAGGTTCTCAGGACTGCCCACAGCCTCTCTGCTGACCCGCACCGGCCCTGTGTAGGTTCCCAGCCTGGGAGCCAGAGACAGTGTGTGAGAGAACTGTGTAGATCAATCGGCACAAGACCCTCAATGGAGAGGACATCCCCCACCGCAGGTGTGGGCCATGGTGTCCTAAGGAATGGAGGGAATCCTGGCCTTGTGCACCAAGAGGGTCTTCCTTCCCTTCTAGAATTTTCTTTTAATCATACCTTTTTGACCTCTCCCGTTCATTAATTTTTCTGCCCCGTGGGTCCTTGTCGATTTCCTAGCCCAAGTCGTCCCTCTCCCTCCTGGATTTGCAGTAGCAGAGGAGTGAAGAAGTAGCAGCCTGCTCCCAGCACGGTCATTGAGAGGACGGACGGACGGACGGACGGGGTCCTGTGTGCTCCCTGTCCTGGCGGTGGAAGAGGGGATGTGGGAGCAATAAATGGCACTATTCAATTGTCCCAGCACTGCCTGGTTCTTGAGTTTGGGACGGAGAAGGGAAAGAGGTTGAATGGAGACAGCCCACTTTGGTGACCACCAGTGACAAGTGCCAGACCAGAGGTGACCATGCTGGGCCCCGAGTGTCCTCAGCCATCCCAGGAAGGAGGCCTGCTTGCTGAGGAGCTCCTTCCTGCTGGGAAAGGGCTTCAGGCACTACCATCTCCACAGAAAGGTGCAGCTCCCAGGGACTCCCGTGCTGTGACTCATCCAAGTGCTGGTTACCAGTTAGCCAGATGTCTGCCCTCTCTGCAGAGCGGGCTGTGTCTCTGTGGCTGCTACCGTCCAGTGAAGGGGATCTCAGAGGAGGAGGATGAGCTATGGGTAGACAATGTCTCTGGAGGACAGGATGTTGGCAGTTAGCACGGCATGTTTTGTTCCGGTGCTGCTCACTCAGTTCCAGTCCAGTGCATCCCCCAGAACACTGCTGCCGGAGGGACCTTCAGCGTTAGGTGTGGTTTTCCTGGACTCACAGTCCTCAGCTCACTGTCGCCTGTTCCAGGGTTTTGCAGGGCTGTATTGTGGACTTAGCCAGGGAGTACTCTCAGGCTAGTCTGGGGAAGTGAGGGATAAACTGTAGGTTTCTTCCAACCATCCCAAGGAGTAATGAGACCTCTTGTTAATGGGTGTTGTGGGAGGAGGTATGAGTCCTGAGTGTGCCCATCTGTGTCCGTCTGTCCTATCCCATCTGAAGGATGAGGTCAAAAGTGAAGGTCACAGCGGGCAGCTGGTGGGCCAGGGCATGATCACCCTCGGGAAGGTTTACCAGTAGTTGTAGTTATCAGGAAAACACTCAGGTGGCCACTGCCTGCCCTGGGTGGGTCGCACTAGAATAGCTTAGTGGGTACTGTCCCAAAGGAGAGGTGGAGTTATGTATGGAATGGGCACAGGTTAGTAAAGATCGTAGAAATGGTGCTTAAAACCCTTCAATTCTTTCTGCCAAATGCTGACCTGGGACATTGTTGGAGGCCAGAAATGGAGAAGAGATGCTCTGTTCTTGTAGAGGTAAGGCAGAGCGTACCTCCAGGACATGGACAAGCTGAAGATCAGTTTCCACTCTGCTGCTTATACGCTGTGTTACTCTGGGCAGGTGAACCAACCTCTCTAGTCCTTGATTGGCTCTCTTCTCTGTGGAGGGAAGAGCTGGCCTGTCTCATAAGCTGTTGAAGGTGATCTAAGCCAGATGTGAGGTCATGGGCCTCTGCACCTCCCCTAAGCAGGAACTGAATGCAATGATGAGGAGCTGATGCTTAAATCCCATCGCTGTGCTATCCATTTGGGCCTCAGGTACTTAATGTAACTCAGTAGAGAATTTACTGAGCCAATGTGTCTATGCACTTAGGTCAGGGTCGTCCCAGCCCGCTCCCTCCAAGTCCACCCAGCGCCAACCTCAGTCTCTTGAGACCCTGCCTTGGGAATCACCTAGTCCTCAGCCTGAGGTGTAGCTGTCCCAGTGTACAGGTGGACAGATGGAGGACAAATAAGGCTGGGCAACCTTCTCAATTTTGGGAAAAACAGAGGTAGTTATCAGTGGGAACATCATTCGGTGTTTGCTTTTGTACAAGCCGTTTAGTTAGCTCTGCATCCACGATGCTATGCATTTCTCTAAGAATTTGTGTGTGTGTGTGTGTGTGTGTGTGTGTGTGTGTGTACATATGGAGGACAAGTTACAAGCATCAGTTTTCCTCCCACCGCGTGAGTCCCAGGGATTGGAGTCTGGTCGTGGCAGGCTTGGCGGCAAGCCTCTTTACCCACGGAACCATCTAAGTCCCAGCTCTGCTTTTTATGTGGAGCTGCTGCTGCTACAGCCAGCATGGGGACCGGACAGTTTGACCCCAATCCCAGTGCGAAGCAGAACACCCACGCCACCCCACCCCCAGTCCACAGCCCCAAACCCACACTCTCCCCCGAGTCGTCCTCCTTGGTTGTATTTACTGAGCATGTGCTGGACACGAGGTACTCAGCTGAGTTCCAGGGACACGGTGGTGACGGTGACAGCCGGTCTGTGCCCTCATAAAGCTTGCCCTCTGGGGTGGAGGGAGACACACCAGCAAGGCAGGACACAGTTTCTTAGAGAGGGGCCCCAGGGAGTGTAGGACAGACAGACACGGGAGAGAGGAAAGAGTCTCCTCGGTCTCCTCCCATCCCTGTGTGCTGTGGGCATCCAGGAACATTCCTAATGCATATCTGCTTCCCAGTGTGTCTTGGAGGGTGGCTCGAGGGAATAGCGATGTGTGGAGAAAACTGGGTTCTATGCTCAAGTAACTTGGGAACGTGCCAAATTCAAGTGTTCTAACGCACACAGCAGGGCTTGGCATGTGTCACGATGCCAGGTGCCCCTCCCCCATGCCCTTGCAAGCTCTCAGAGGACAACGGCACACCCCTTCCCTGCCCAAACCTGTCCAAGCTATTCCTGAAGCCACATTCTCTGCAGAGCAGGCTGTCAGGGGTGGGGTGCTGCTGTCCAGTGAGGAGGGGGACCACGGGAGGAGGAGGAAGAGCAGGAGAAACAGCTTGGGATATAGTATCCAGTGTTTTCCGAACTCGCTTGGTCAGGAAACCTTCCATTCGTAGGGCATCTTGGGGCTGGTATGCTGAATTCCACCACTGTGCGATGCCCAAGCCCTGCCCGTCAGCACCATGGACAGAGAGCCCTGCTCCAGGTCTCCCAGTGGAGCCCCCAGCTCAGTCCACAGGCATCCTGGTCTCTTACCCATGTTATGCCCCATTAAGGGAGCAGCGTCCCATTTTCCACCAAAGGAAACGGAGGTCAGTGTAGGCCAAGCACTGTGCCTAGGCTCCCCCAAGAGATGAAGAGCAGAGGTTAACCATTTAGAGTCTAAGTCCAGATATTATGCTTTGCCGAAACTAGCCCACAGAGTAAATTGATTTTTTGACATTGATTTGTTGTGCACATTCCTTCGCACATGGCAGTCAGAGGACAGCGGCAGGAGTCATTTCTTTACTTCCACCGTGTGGGTTCTGAGGCTCCCGCTCAGGTGGGGGGTCTTGGAGGTGGGTGCCTTCAGTTGCTGAGCCGTCCCATCAGCCCACACTGTTTTGATGGATATAATTTTTTGGGCTGATGGGAGCTATACTGAGGGAATTTGGGCAAGGAATCGATGTTTGGTCACAGTAAGATTTTTTTGTAAAGTCATGGATACTTGGAGGAAATGCTAATAAATTCCTCCTGTAGCAGCTTCTGGTCCTTACTCCATGCACCACCCTTGGACCATGCTTAGTACAAAAATAAGGCTCTTAAAAAATGTTAGTGTACAATATCTATCTGTCTGTCTGTCTATCTATCTATCTATCTATCTACCTACCTACCTACCTACATCTATCTATCTATCTATCTACCTACCTACCTACCTACCTACCTACCTACCTACCTACATCTATCTATCTATCTATCTATCTATCTATCTATCTATCTATCTATCTATCTATCTATCTATCTATCTATCTGAGACTCCATGGTGTCATGTAGTCCAGGCTAACCCGGAACCTGCTGTGTGGTTGACGATGACCATCAACTGACCCTCCTACCTCCACCTCCCAGTGTGGAGACTGCAGATGTGTGCTGCCTCACACAGCCAAAAAAGCAATGTGTCCTTGGGGCAGAGACATGGCTCTGTGGTTCAAAGCACTTCTTGCTCCTGTGGGGGACCCAGGTTCAGTTCCCAGCACCCACATCAAGCAGCTCACAAATGCTTGTAACTCCATCTCCAGGGTATCTGATGCACCTGCACTCACGTTAGTGCACATGTGAGCACACACGTACATACACATAATCTTAATGTACATGTCTCACTATAACACATATTTGTACTTTGCTCACACTTGCCCCTCCCCTCCCCGACCTCCTCTTCCACCTCTCTGGTTAGTTCCTACAGTCCTACAAACAGCCCCCTTCTGGTTTCATGCCACACACTCACAGAGACACATCTGGTTTCTGCATACGGGGAAATGCACACTAGGGGGCTGGAAGAATCACCGTTTCAGGGCCAGTGAGAACTCGGCGGTGAAAGCCCTGGCCATACAAGCCTGACAACCAGACTTTACTCCCTGGGATCCACAGTGGACGGAGAGAATGGACTCCCCAAAGGTGTCCTTTGACCTCCACATGTGTGCTGCGGCATACATGTGTCTATGCCCACACCTACACGCTCCCACACAGAAATAAAATTCCTTTCGGTGGGAGCATGCCCTACACATGATCATTCACACACTCACCATCTACAGTGAATATATTACCAGTAATCAATATATGAACTCTGTATCTCCCATTTACCCCACTCTGTCATCCATTCCTGGGGATCCAGGGCCTTCTGCACTTGCAGCAAACTCTGCCACTGAGCTAGATCCCCAGCTCCCACTCAGCTCGTGACATCTTTATCATCATCATCATCCATGTTTCCGCCAACTGTGCATTTATCTACGATTGTCTAGAAGGGCCAGTGCACGTCTCTCCATTTCTGTCCCCTCCTCTCTCCCTTGCTCATTCTCTCCCCCCTTTCTCTCTCCTCTCTGTATCCTCTCTTCCTCTATGTCCCCCTTTCTCCCTCTCTCTTCCCTTTTCCCTCCCCCATCCCAACCTGACCTCAAACTTGCTACATAGCCGAGAATAACCTGCCTCCCCTTCCTGAGTGCTGGGGTCACAAGCATATGCCACTATGATGGGTTTTAAGTGGTGCTGGGATAAAATCCAGGGCTTCATGTGTGCCAGGCAAGTCCTCCACCAGCAGAGCCACAGGCTGGGCCCCTGTCTGTTTCCTTGACCAGCACGCACACGGCTCCCTGCATGGACACAAAGGGTCCAGTTCATTCTTGGTGGATGCACAGTCAATTTGTTTCTGGCTCCTTGCTGCTTATCAATAATACCACTGCAAGAACCTATTATGGTCATGGTGTGTGTGTGTGTGTGTGTGTGTGTGTGCGTGCGCGCGCGCGCGCGCACGTT